GAGAACCTAAAAAAGCAACAACTCGAAGAAAATGACAAACTCAATAAAACACTTGCCATGCTAAAAAAGACCCAATCAAGAATTCATGCTCTAGATAAGGAAAAAAAGGATATGAGTGAGGAGATAGAGCGTCTCCAGGAGTCATTTCGAGTTTCTGAACAAAATGCAACCGACAAATTGAAAAAATTGACGGCTGAAAAGGAAGGATTGTTTGATCAATTACAACTGAAACAAGCAGAATTCGACTCATCACAATCATTGCTCGAAACATTACAACATGGTTCCAAGGAGAGGGAGCGTCAGTTAAAAGAAACTGAAGAGCGTTCTCAAGCATTGGAAGAAGAAGTAACATCATTAAAGAAACATCTTAAGGAAATGAAGCGAGAGAACGAAACTTTGAAAACAAAAGTGGAAGATTTAAATGGAATCACAGAGAAGTTTGAAATTGTGACCAAGCAGTCTGAAAATTATAAACAAGAAAAAGAAAAAGTAGAGTTAGAATTAACCGAAATTAAACGTAATTCCGATGTTCAAATACAAGATATAGTTAAACAATTGACAGAAAAAGAGCAAGAAAAAAGCAAGCTAATGACAGAATATCAAGAAAAAGATGAACTTTTGAAATTAGCACAGAATGAGAACGATTCTCTGAAAAAGCAGATACGAGAATTAGACGAAAATGTGCGCGTACTTACCACAAAAATGGCTAATGTTGACGAGAACTCTGTAGGTTATAATTAATTAATGTTTTATAAGCCATATTTATTACATATAGATGATTATATATAAAATTTTTAGGCCAAATATCGGGAGTTGGAACATAACCTTCAACGAAATAAAGAAGAGTATGAAAAATTACTCGAGGAAGCCCGTATGCGAGAAGGTCAACTAAGAAACAATAATAGGGTAAAATTATATATCTGTTTATCGTTTTTTTTTTATCAGTTATGTTTGTGATATTTAATTATTTGTAATTTCATATCATTCAGTCACTCAAAGAAGAAGTTCGAA